GGAATGGGTCGCCTGAGGATAAGGGGGGACAGTTCTAAATATTGACAAAAAGAGAGCAACAGTGCAAATAAGCCACTTGTCCTTATGATCAGGAAAGAGCCTGGAAGATCCAATTCGAAAGGTACCTGTCTTACCTTGACTGGATTGCCACACCTGACTAGCTCCATCCTCTGGTGCTGGGTCCTGCCATAGCCCCCATGTGCCTTGGGCCTGGCGCCCAAAGACACAGCCCCAGGAGTTGCTGCAGGCAAAGTGGACACGTGTGGCACAGCTTAGGTCAGGGTGAGGGGTCAAAGGAGCTAAAAGCCCCACCTTGTTAGCCTGTGGCAGAAGAACAGGCGTCAAAACAGACTCCAGGAGCTTGGGAAGGGGCTGGTAGGGGTGTGCAGGAAGCAGGTTGGTTTTGGATGTAAGAGTGTGGGACACCCTCAGACCAGTTGCTGCCATCCTCGGAAGGTATGAGCAAGGGAAGCCCTTCCCACAATAAACCAGGGCTTCATCATCCCTAACCCAGGTCAGACTCAGCATCCCAAACTGACCTCACACTCTTTCCTTTTCGTCCTGTTCTATTCACTGGCGTTTTCATCCAATTCTGCCTTCTTAGGAATGACCATTAGCCCTGAAAGTCATGGCCACAGCACTTTGGCCCAACTTCTTAGAATTTTGTGGGTGGAAGATCTTGGGAAATGATAATGTCTACCCAGCATCCTGTAATGAAGAGCCCGTAGTGACTTCTAACAATGGCTCCTGCAGCTTGCTCAGGTGGCAGCCCTGCAGCCAGGGTGGTCAAGCTGTGCCAGGGCTCAGAGGGGTTTCTGGTCACTAAGAAGGGGTCAGTGCCCCTCTCACTCTCACCTAGGCTCACCTAGAGTCTGCAGCAGGAACCAGCCAGAGAAATTTCCCTATGCCTCAGGTGGCTGTGCTTTCCCGTTCACCAGGGGCCACCTCCTCATCCTTGATGGTCCTCACCCCCACTGCTTCTTACAGGGCTTTACTGGGATGGGCACCTGGAGACTCTTCAGAGCAGAAAGGGACTTTTGAACTTAAGACCCACCTCATTTTATATATGAGGAAACTGAGAGGTTGTCACTTGCCCAAGGTCACACAAATAGTGGGAGAGGGCTGGGTCCAAACCTAGTCTCTTGATTCAAGCTTGGCTGTGATCCTGGGGACCAACTAGAAGCAAGGGGAGGCCATTGCAGTAGTTGAGGCCACACTTCTGCTGTCACTAAGGCTGCATTTGGTTTGCTCTTTTTGGTGATTAGGCCATCCACCTTTCCCTGTTGACAAGTTGAACTTTGACTAAGACCCCTAAAATTGTTTTATAACTTTATTTTGTTCTAATTGTAAAAATAACATACACTTCGTAAAAATTAGAGAAGACATTCAAATCTAGAGCCTAAATCTGAATGGCACTGGACCATTTTAGCTCACCCCTGTTTTCCTGCTTTGTTTCCAGGAAGAACTTAGGGCTCCGCCTTCCTCTTGGATCAGGCTCCACCCAGTCTCTCTTATCAGTCCTTACTGACCCCCAGGCAGAGCTCCCTGGACGTCTGTGGCTGACATCCTGGGGACTGGTGGTGGATCTGCCCTTTTACCACACTCCTGTCCTCCAGTTATCTGATCTCATCCTGTGTTCCAGGACCACCCTGTGCCTTCTTCTGTCCCATCCTGAGTCCCCTGGCTGGAGCCCTACCTACTCTAAGAAGCCTTTGTTCTTTCAGATGCAAAGGACTCCTTTTGGGGTTCCCTCATGTTTGTGGTCTAGCCACATAATTTCTCCTTAGTTACACATTGACCTACACTAATCTCTTCTCTCCTCCTGGCCAGGGCCTATTACCCAGTCAGCCAGGCCCCTCCACCTTTCACTTGTTTCCCTTATGGCACCCACCCAGACTCCAGTCCTGAGAACCTGAAGACACATGAACTGTGACTGTCTGGCCCCATGCTGCTGGGGAAGGGCTCTTCTGAGGGAGGTGCAGGATTCTGCACAGAGCTTCTTTGAGGAGCTGGAAGGAGGTGAGAGGTTCAAAGGAGCTCCGGGAATCTGTCAACCACCACCACCACCCTTGGCTCTCTGGAAACTGTCCCTTTTCCCCCTGAAGTTGACATAGCCCCAACAAGGGGCTCCATTTGGATGTGTAAAATGAACTTGTGTTGTCCCTTCTCAGGAGAAAGCTTCTCCAGAGAAGAGAAATCCTGCACGACTGCTATTCAGAGACATAGCAAGCCGGGCGCCAGTGGCTCACACCTGTAATCCTAGCTACTCTGGAGGCAGAGATCAGGAGGATCACAGTTCGAAGCCAGTTCGGACAAATAATACTGCAAGACCCTACCTTGAAAAAAACCTTCACAGAAATAGGGCTGGTGGAGTGGCTCAAGGTGAAGGCCCTGAGTTCAAGCCCAGTACTACAAACAAACAAACAAACAAATAAAGAGACAAAGCAGTGTTAGGGGCCCGTTCCAGGCCTCTGGACTTCTGTGAGTAGTAAGCTGGGGGGGTCAGATCAGTGGTTTCCTTCCTCACAGTACCCTTTCACACCTCCCCGGACTTTTGCCAGTGGTCCTGGCCTGGAAGCTCTTCTCCTCCTCTTCCAATTGGCCAAGACATGATGGAGGGACACTGAACCAGGACCCAGAGACTAGGGTCCCCAGAGCAATCCTGCATATGGGTAAGGAAAGGCCAGCTCATCTCCAAATTTCCTTCTAGTTTGCAAGGCCAGAAGCGTCCCACTGCGTCGTCCCAGTTCTCTAGTGGCATCGGGCATAGATCCTGTGCCAGACTGGCTGGTTGCTCTCCCAACTCTATTCCTAGTTGGCTGTGGGACCATCTCCCTAACTGTCCTCTGTCGGGCCTCGCTGGGTGGCTGGAGGACTTGTGAAAAGTACCTCAAAGCACAGCTGGTACTGACCCGTGCTATGTGTGTGGCTGTCTTCAGGGCCGCGCACACAGAGTAGCATCCCTGTGTCTGACGGGAAGTGACATGGCCTTTGAGTCCTTTGATATTGGGAACGTGGTTCCTCTTCCTTTGGTGCAATTCCAGAAGAGTGCTGGGAAGAGAGGCTGAGGCTGTTACCTCAAGTGATTGGAGAGTTGGAGGCTCTGGGCCAGCGGAGGCCCTCAGTGGGGAGGCTGAGCGTTGAGCAGGTGAGGAGTTGGTGGGGGGAGGCCTCTGCTGCTGCTAGGTCAGCACATGCTGACCACTGGTGACCTGGCAGGTCATGTCACCTAGCTAAGTCAGGTCAAGTCTTGTTTTGACTTGAGTCCACTGGTAACCATGAAGGGGCACAGTTTGGATAGAAATGACAATGGTTTTGATGAATTTCCTGGCGGGGGATGCTCAAGATAAAAAAAAACATATAAATACAGAAAACATTAGTTCTCTGATTTTAATAGTTGGAGGGAAAGTTACAAAATAAGACAGACAACATAGAGCTTCAGACTGGCAATGAACCCAGGGAAACAGAAATGTAAACACAAACAGAGCTTCCAGATAACGTGATTTTATACTTTAGAATTTCCAGAATACCGTAACAACTGACACACTAAAGTAAAAATAAAGTAAAAGAAATAAGTCTTCAGAGTCAGTCTATACACAGTTCAGAGACAGTACAAAAAGGCTCCTTCCTCTGGGATTAGCCCGAGCCTGGGGCCACAGCAGGGTCTGCACAGACACTGTACCTTTGGGCCAGGAGAGGCCATGGCTGGATTTGATGGGGTTTGGCTTCCAGGGACTGCCCAACCTCCCACATTCCACAAGTTACCTCTCACTCTGGCAGGCTGGCTCTGATCCCAGGCCTGTCTCCTTTGACCCACAAGACACACACCCTTTTGACCCACAACCCCTTTCCCTTTATCAGCAGGACGCCCAGCGGGCCACACCAAGGGAGAATGACCCACTTCCTCAGGAGCCAACCAGTCCACAGGTGCTGAAAACCCCAGCCTAGCCATGTGGAAAAGTCAGCAAAAAGGGTACAGAGAAACTGTGTAAACCACCTGATATTCTCCTCCCTCTGGAAATTTCTGATGTTAGCAGGAGGGGATGTTGGGGGTGGCCGAGCCCAGGTTGAGAGGGGCAGGAGAAGTGAGGCACCGTCTGGCAGAAGGGGCAGGACAGAGGAGCAGTCCATTCTCAGGGTAGGGCTGTTGGAAGGTCTTCTGTGAACTGTCAAAAAACAGGGGTGGGCCAGTGCAGCTACCCCAGAGCCAAGGCACAGAGGAGGTTTGAAATGTCCAGGATAAATAGAACCACATGGGGGAGGAGAAAAGCCAGCTCCATCCCTCTTTTAAAAATAGTTGCCATGGGCACCAAAAATATATTAATATCTATACATTTGTCATCTTTAAAAAAAAAGGAAATAAAACCTCCTTGGCACCTTGTGGTTGGTTTCTTAAGAATGAGGTGATATGTGGAAAGGCCACCTGTGTACACCCACAGAGACAGCAGTGAGTATACACACATGCACCCGGACAGCTGCATGCAGGCACACGAGTCCACACACAGGGCAGTCCTGCACACACATACAAGTACGCACAGCTGTGCACACATATGCCTCTGTCAGATGGGCGGAGCCCTCCAGAACCCTGAGCGTGAAAAGCCCTGCAGGGGTGTGGGCAGCTGCCAGCCTCCCACCGTGGTTGTTTTCAAGGGTGCTCTTTGCCAGTGCTCTTTACTGCTGTCCATGGGGACCCACAGTCCCTGTCTGTGTCCAGGATGAGGGCATCAGGATCCCCTTTCACTGAACCTCTTCTTGGGAGGAAGTCCTGCTGCAGGGAAGCAGTGCCCGTCTCTGTAACACTGCTTCTAGCCACTTGGCCTCACCCCTACCCAGACACACACGCTCAGGGTAGTCTCTGCCCATGAGGCAAATGTGCTGAAAGGAGGAGTCAGTGTTGGGCCTGAGCAAGCAAGTGTGACTGTGGGGAGACCAAGGCCTGGGGGGCTCCAGTCCCGATCACTGGTGTTCTGGCAAGAGACCACAGGAGGGTCAACTGGCTGGGCAGCAGGGAGGCAAACCCGGACTCTTAGAGGACTCCAGGAGCATCCCCAGGCCTGTGCTGCTCAGAGGTGGGGGCTGCCCTGCAACAGGGAAGTGACAGTATTCTGCAGGGCCACAGCCACCTTCTTGGGGGTCTTCCGCAGCAGCGGGCTGTCGGGGTGGTGCTCCTTTAGGTGAAGAACATGACCTTCTTGAGTCTCGGATGTGCAGCCACACTCCTCACACACGTACAGCTTGGCCCGGCGTTCCTTGTATGCGTACTTCTGCTGCACACCATGGATCTTTTTTAGGTGAGACTCCAGAGAGCAGCGCTGGGTGAAGGCCTTGTCACACAGACTGCACTTATAAGGTCGGACACCTGCAAAGGACAGGGACTGGCATCAGGGACCTGACGGGGACCCTGGAGCCTGTCAGCAGCACCATGGAACAGAAAGGTCAGGACACCTCACTCTGGGACAGAGGGACTGACAAGGCCTAGCAATTGCCCAGTGGGCTCTCAGATCAAAAGTGCTCATCAATGTACTGAGGAGGACATCTGCCCTTAGCTCCAAGATGCCTGCTCTGGGTTGCCCATTTTACAAGAGTGCTACAGGAATCTTGCTATGTTACCTTAGCCAGGCAGGTCTGGGGTGCTCCCTCCCAGTCACGGGCTTCCACTTACCAGTGTGGGTTCGGACATGTCTCTTGAGGTCAAAGGTATCATTGAAGCCTTTTCCACAGTATGTGCAGAGGTGCCTCTTGACATCATTGTGACACTTCATGTGGCGATTCAGCATGCGCTGGTAGGTGAAGGCCTTCTGGCAGATGTGACAGGTGAAGAGGTCTCCATTGGGACTGTCCCCCATAGTCACCTGGGGGCAAGGATGGTATTTGTGACAGCCAGCCGAAAGTTAGGACTGCAGGCTGGCAGGTCAGGACACACGTCAGCCCCTAGCATTGGAGGAAAGTGGTGCCCACCCTCCAGAGGCCACAGCCTGTGCTGTCTGCTAAGAGAGGGGCAGTGTGGGAACCTCTTGGGTCATTGGTCCAACTTCCTGTTGGGTTATGAGTTCCTTTCTGAGGCTGTCACCCAGGCCTGCCTTAACCATTCTGTGAAAGGTGACTTGAGTACTTGTAAGTAGCTGTTCCACCATCAGTCAGCTCTACCTGTTAGAAAGTTCTCCCTCACCCGAGGCTGGATCTGCCTCTCTGCGGTTTTTATTTATTCATTCTTGTTTAGCCCTTTGGGACGGAGAAGAAGTCCACACCATGACTGCAGTGGCAGCCTCCCCAGCCTGGGGCACCTCTCAGAGCTAGGAGTCCCCTCACAAGCCAGCCTCACTTCCTGGGTTTACCCAAGCCAGGTCTGATGGGGTGTATTTGCACTCCTGTGCCACCCTCTTGCCTAAAAATCTTTTTGACTTTTTTTTTAAATGATGGGAAATTTCAAATTTGTACAATAATGAATGGAAAGACTAGTACTATGGGCCCCTACCTGTCTCTCAGTGCAAGTCTTCCTCTACCTCTACTATCCCCTCTTTCCCCCTTGCCTAGAGTCGTTTGAAGCAAGTCCTTGGCGCCACCAGACACCTCTGAAAGTGTGCTGCTCAGAGTAGCTGCAGCAATTCTCCTGGTGTGAACAGCACAAGGGTGGCTGAATAGCCAGCTTAGGGTCATATGCTCTCTGCCCTCACCTCTGTTAACCTCCAGAGGTTGTGGTGTATAGGGGTCCTGTCACTTGCCACTCCCGCTCCTGTGGCTCACACACACCTCCCATTCGGTACCCTCATTCTGTCCTGCTTTTAGCATCCAAGGCCATTTCCCTTTCCTTGCAGCTAGTCAAGACACTGTGAGTCAGACTTGGCCTCTGACTCCTCTGTTGTCCTGCCCATATTCTACTCTCTGGGGTCTGAGGGATGGGGAGGACAGGTGAGGGGTCACCATGAAGGTTGGGAGAGTCTGGCTGGCTGTGGCCAACCGTGGAACAGGTCTCAATTTTTCCTTTCCATTACAACACACATTGGGCTCCACAGGTAGGAGGGGAAGGGATAGCCCTCCATGGCAGCCTTTTGGTATAAAGGGAGCTAGAGGAACATCCTTCCACTAGGTCACTGCCAGCAGGTGCCCCCAAGTCCTGGAGTATTTGGGAACGCCAACCCAGCCAGGGCCAGCTTGCTGCCCACGCTTTCTGTAGAAGGCAGGCGTCTATTCTGCCATAAGCAGTTCTGCCAAGGGTGGGGTAGACTGGGGGTTGCTCCTGTTCCCATTCATGGCCTGGCACGCTGACGGGGCTGGAGATGGCAGACTTGGTGAGGTGGTCATTGCCACATGCCTCAAAGAACGGCTAACCACCACACCAACTGCAGACATCACACTTGACGCAGTCCAGGCAGGAGACATAGCTAGGCCAGGCTCCTGCCTCACTGCCTAGGACTTGTGTGTGAAGAGGTGGCTCTTCCTATCGCTTTCCTTGCCTCTGTAGCCAGAAATGAAACTGGACAACTTGCAGATGTGGGCTCCAAAGGGTTAGACGTTTTCACTTCAGACCTACTTCCCTCCCCACTCTGTGTTCTTGCTACAATCTTCTCTGCAGAAGCCTCAGCCCAGGGCCTTGGTCAGCTTCTGCCTGTGTCACTTTTGTGCCCCGTTGTGTGGGCTGGATGCCACACACGCCCCGGACCTTGACACAGTGGGAGAATCATTACCTTCATCTTGGTGCGCAGGAAGCCCTGGTCTCTGCTCTGGGAGTCCGTCAGGCAGCCCACATCTTCAGAGGGCAGCTGGGCTACCACGCAGGGCCCTGAGGCCACACTGTAGTTGGAGTCTCGAAGGCTCATGTCCAAAGCCAGGGGGCAGGAAGGAAGTTCAGCCACCGATGGCTCTGGCTCCTGATAGGGCTGTGGTGGGCAGAAGCCTAGGCTGACTGGGGAGAAGAGAACAGCCAGGTGAGGGTGTGTAGGAAAGAAATGAGGCTCCAGCGGGGTTTCAGGAAGGCTTCCTGGCAAGAGGGTGGCTGGAACCTGGAGCGTCCGTTCCTCCCCTTGAAGGCATGTGGCAAAGTGGGGCTGCCTTCGGCCTACGACACCTGCATCTCCCTCCTGCTCCATTAAGATAATTATAGGTGACGCCAGCCAAGTGCCACTGCTCACTGAGTAACTTGTGTCTTAGCGGAACTGGGAGGACCGAACTACCCTGCCAATTATGCTCGCCCAGTGTCCGCCCGCCCCACGCCCCACCTGGGTCAGTCCCTCCAGATTCCAGGCCTGTCCTCACTCCTATAGAGACAAAGGGCACCAATGGAGGACATGACCAGGGACAGCTTCTTGAGACGCATCCTAGCCCAAGAAGGGGTCCCTGGTACTCTGGGCTCCTCCCAGCTGCTAGCATTTGGAGTTCAGGTGGTCCTAGCCCCTTCCTCCCCTGGACTGGCTGTTTTCTGCTGTCCAGCCCATCAGGGCTCCAGGCTCCTGACTTGGGTTGGGCCCAGCTCAGTAGGCAAACAGGCCAGGTGGGTGGAGAGGGAGGAGGTCGGGGAGCAGCAGGTGGATGCTTGTAACAGTCTCTGGGCCGCCTGCCCAGCACTTACGCAAGCCTCCCCCACAGCGGGACCGCTTGCTATAGCAGTCGGGCTGGGCTCCCTCCGGCAGTGGCACACCGATACCTGGCAGCCCTTTGACAAGGCTGCTCCCCTCAGCAGACACCTCACACTAAACAGGCCAGGGAGCCTTGGCTGCAGACCCTGAGCAGAAAAAGTGGCCCACAGGTGACAAGTCTCAAAGCCACCAGAGCTGGGGCCAACGGTCTAAGTGTTCAACTACAATTTCAACTAGTACAGCCTGAGCTCTCCACTTAAAACCAATAAGCTAGGACCGTTTCCCAAGCTTCAGGACAAAATAAGAGGAGCCTGGGAAGGAAAAGATGAGTGAGCCAGAGGAACACAGGGAGTAGATTTGGGATTTCAGAAGCACGCGCAAGGCCCTCTGCTCCAAGCTGGGAGACAGGGGTAAGCACCCAAGTCAGTCCGCTGCCCTGACCTCCTCTCCTAGGATGGACAGGGCTGTGGGGGACACCAGAGGGGCAATGATAATGGAGGGCGGGTGAGTATGAAACACTGGAGTTTCGGGAGCGGCCCTGCTCTCGCCCCCTCAAAACACAACAAAGGTCTGACAAGAAAAGAATGTGCCTGCCCGCCGCCCAGAACCCGTTCTGCTGGCATTGGCGTCCGTCTGTCCGGGGGACTTTAATGAGCCACCTCATTCCAGGTTGATTCACCAGCGCCTGGCCCTGGCCTGGCGTCCCACCTTTCTGAGCCACGCTGGCTCAGGTCAGGCCAAGCTCTTGGCCTATCTGCTGTGGTGAGCTGTGTGTGTGCCCAGGTCTGGGCTGGGTTGGTGGCTCTGGTGCCCACTCACCAGCCACTGGAGACCTTGACTGATGAGTCCAAGACTGGACAACAATGTCCTCTTTTCAACCCACGTGGAAACAGTCCTCTTCAGTGTCACTTTGGGATAGCATGATTGAGGCTTCCAAAAGCTGAGCTGGGCCACACTGTCTGGGCACAGAGCAGCAGATGGCAGAGTGACAGCACGTAAATGAGCCAGTCTGAATTCAGGATGAGCTGTGACACTTGGGTTCCTGGCTCCATGGAGGGGAGGCTTATGGGTGGGGGTCTGAGGACCTGGTTGAGAGGTAGTCCTCTTTGCCTATCTCTGCCCTTCCACAAAAACCTGGAAAGGCTGAGGACATGGGCCCGAGTGGAGTGTGACTAGGTGCATGCCCTATGCTGCCTCTACCCTGAGCCAGGGGCTGATGAGGCTGCCAGGGTGGGGATGTTTGCCTCATCCCACCCACTCGTCAAACCTGTCTCCCTGCCACCCAGCTGGGCTGCACACACAGGGAGTTGTGCATCAGTGCATCATCCGCTGGTCCTGAGTGTGACTGAATGGCAGGAGGCAGAACTGGTTGGGCCCTGGCTGGTGCTGTTCTCTGTCCCCTAATTAGATGTTTCCGGCAAGGCGGCGGCTGCTGTGGCTACATCACCTGCCCACAGCTGTGGAGTGTGGCAAGGCCAAGCCAGCCAGCCTTTCCCTCCTCTTTCATGGGCCCATGGGCTCCCTCCTGCTGGCCTCTTGTGTCTTTACCTGGATGGTAACTGTGGGCCTGGGCCCAGAGCAGTGGACCAGACAGGAAGGGCTGCCCACCCAACACTGTCCCCGCCTTCCCTCCTCAAGGCCCCCTCTCTTGGACTGAAAGCTACTGGCTCAGATAGTGGACAGAATGCCAGGTCCTACCCCATCCAAGGCCTCAGACAGGGTTGGGCATGAAGCCTGGTCTTTGGAGAGAGTGAGTGAAGCAGATGTGAGGATGCCCAGCCTCTGGGTCCCCAGCTGACTGCACAGGTGCTGGTGGGGGACAACTCGGTTCTAAATGTGTGTCTACAGCTCAGCTTGGCTTTAGGCAACCTCACATCTTGGTTAGAAAGGGCTGGGCCTTGTGTGTGGCTCTCTGAGTCCTGCAGGTCCGCTAGCAGTCTAGGTGTTGGTCTAGGAACAACACTGCTAGCTGGCAGAGGCAGCTCTGGGGACACATGGCCCAACTCTTAGTCTTTTGTTGCCATTCTGCTTAGTGCCAGAGTTCTTCTCTAAGGCAATATATGTCCCCCTTTCCCAACTGCTTTTTATTCAGTGACCATGCTGGAGTTAGAACTGTGCCCTTGGCCATCATACCAGGGTGTCTGGCCCTGAAGAGCCAGAAGCTCTGGGGTTCCTTTGCCCTCCCCCTCAGTACCTATTGGGTGCCCTTGTGGCATGACATACAGCACTTGCTGAAAACAAACACTGATACAAAGGAGCCAGCACCAGCAATGGCCAGTCTTCACTCCCCAGATCCCTGGGCCTGGGGCAAGCCTTTACCTGCTCTCTTTCTGCTACAGTTTGGCAGCTTCTGCCTCAGGACACCCAAGTTTGGACAATCGACTTAGCAGCTTGGGTGTTACCCCATAGGACAGGTAGGAAATCCCATCCAACCCACTGCTGGGACTGGAGTTGTTCTTCTGTCTTTATGTACTAGCTAGTTGTCCTTTTCCCTAGAAAGCACAGCCCAGCACTCCCAGGAATTACTGGAATACTCAGCAGAGGCCCAGCCTCTCCTGCCCACCCCACATGCACTGGGATTCCTACTCAGCCTGCAGAACCAATAGAATAGTCCAAAGGGAATCCAGGCCAGAGGTCAGAGGGCAGGCTCAGAACTGGGGGGTCTAGGAGCCTGGAAAAGGCCCCTAGGATGCTCTTGTAGTTCCAGTTTCCAGGCTGGGTCTGTCCCCAGGTGCCATGCTGGCCTTGAGATTTCACTCAGCAAGGGTCTGAGCTCACAATTGCTTCATCAGTGCTCCGGAAGCCTTCCCCAGTCCAGAATTGGAATTTACCCCCAGGTACAGTGCCTGCTTCGACCTTAAGAAGCCAGCATCCCCCCTGTCACTCCACAGTTAATGTTGACACAACCAAGGAGAGCTCACACTGGGATTGGTGAGGGAAGCCAGAAAGGAGCCATCTTAACTACTAACCCTGCCATCTCCCAGTGCCAATGGGGCTGCTTTCTCACTTGCCTGCCTTCCAGCCTACGACGTCCAGTCCTGGGCTGTGCCCTCAGCTTTGGGAGGACAGCTGGGCTGAGGGAGAGATTCTGCCCTCATAGGGGAGTCTCTAGAATTTTGTATGGGGAGAAAGACTGGTGCAACTGCAAGTCACAGCTATCATGCCAGGCCTAGCATCTTTGGTAGATAAAACCTTCTCTTCTCCCTCCAAGGTGGTCTTGATGACATTTTGAGGATCTCAGAGGGCCCTGGTGGGAAGGTCAGAACTCACAGGCTCCCATGTTCCCCAGCCCTCCCAATGGGAATAGGGTCAATGCTTAGCTGGTCACAATGTGCCAGGAGTCTGTGAGGTGGGGTGACAGAAACGTGCCTGGCTGACTCCTGGGGTCATGGTTGGCTGATGATGGAATGGCCCAGCCAGAGGACAGGCCACCAGAAAACACAGCTCCCTTCTCTCCAGCCATCTGAGGCACCCAAGCGTGGACTGAGGACATTCAAAACTCCAGTGGGCCACACAGCTTTTAGAGGGAAAATCAAGCTCTAGACTATCTACCCTTTACTTGACTCACAGGACTTGCCCAAGCCATAGGGCAAATTCTTACCGGTGTCCTGGAGGTTCCCTTCCTCCCACCCGACCTGGGACCATCCTGGAAAGTGAGCACCTGTGTATCCCCTCACGTGGACAGTGGCAGCAGGTGGCAGAGACCACCCTGAGGCCTTCCCTGCACCTGACAGAACAGCCCTTGGGGCACAGGTCTCCACCACTACCCGCCCCCCCAACAGAGTGGTGGGGGGATCACTAGGACCCAAAGAAGGCAAATGATTTGAATAAGCGGAATTTCTTTGTCCTTTGTAAAAGTCAACACATGATCTGTTACTGATTGGGATGTGAAATAAAACTAAAAATAACAGCCCGCTGAGCCTGGCTCAAGGCTCAGCTCACCTTTCACACAGTCCAAGTTCAGTTTATCAGATCCCAAGGAGCAACTAAGCAGCAAGTCAAACACAGGTTGGGGAGGAGGAAGGAACGAAGAAGGAGCAAGGAAGGGGCTGCATCTAGTGCTAGCCCTTCCCCACACGGAGCACTGGCCACCTGGCTAGAGCACTTGGCCAAGAAGAAACTACAGTCCTGAGCCCACCCCTCAAGGAAGGAGGCTGTGATGACCCCAGCCTCACTTTTCCTGGCTGGGGTCATTACAGTTTTCTGGCCCATTCCCTTGTTTAAGGAAGGTACAGAAGAGTGGTCCAGCCCCTTGAGGAAAACTTAAAACTGTAAAACATCCCACAACAGTGTCACAAGCCATGGGAGCCTGAAAGGCCAGGCCACAAAGAGTTCACCATAACACCTACATCTCCAGCAGCTGATTCGAGAGGGAAACTGAGTCAAGAGCCCTCCCAGGGCCCCTCACCCACTGCCCTTACTTCCCGACTTTCTTAAAGGTCTGGGCGGTGCCAGAGAGCCTGAGGATCAAGGGTCAAAGTCGGTTGGTTAATTACCACCTCTCCCCCCTTGGAGGCGCTGGGCAGTGCGCCCCTGCCCCACCCACTAGGCCAGGGAGGTGGGGTTGCGAAGGCAGCTGGCAGCCTTCTGACCAACGATTTTGTTGAGGGGTACCGGGAAGACAGAAGAAGCACAAGTGGCCTCAGGGCTCTCGAGAAAGATGCTGCTGGAGGAAGAGACAACTCGGGTTACTCATTCAAAGTAGACGCGGACGCTGTCAAGGCGTCTTCCCAAAATAAACTTGGTGCACCAGCTTCCTGGGGCCTGTCCCGTGGCTATGGAGTGGGCTCCTTAAAACCACTTTTCACTCAATGTGTCCTTTGCAAGGTTGAAGGACTGTGTTTCTAGAAGAGGTGAGACCCGACCCCACCTTTGTCCCAAGGGCAACCGGGGTGCAGTGGACGCCTTCCCCGCCGGTTCCCGCACTTGGTGACCGCCAGGCCGGAGGCTCAGGGAAACTCGGGGCGCCGTGCGCCTAGCCCCTCGCCGGGACCGAGCCACCAGTGTTGTGGGGGAGGGGACCTATGTAAGTGGTTTAAGTTCTGAGTCTTCCCTTACATATAGCCGAAGCTTCAGCCGAAACTCCAGCTCGCTCCCTGCCCCCCAAAGTGGCGTCGCTCCAATGCCCCTTTCCCGCCTCATGAAAGTCCCCGCTTTCTGGATTTACGACGCAAGAGCCGAGGGTCGCTGGAGCGGTGACACACCCCGCTGCCTCCCATGAGCAGAGGCGCGGGCCGGGGGAGGGGTGGTGGCCCCGAGCCCCATGCCTGGGATCTGCGGCGCCTCCACCTCGGGCTCCCACCCCCACCCCCACCCTCACCCCCACCCCCACCCGCCCCGCTCCTTCCGCCCGCGCTGCGCTCCCTCCCCGCGCCCAGGGGTCCGCCCGCCGCGGGCTAACGGGGCCCAAGCCACCGAAACCTGCGTCCCCGCGCCCCGCCCTCCTGCCGCCGCAGGCTCGGGCGCCGGGTGCCTCACCTGGCACGTAGATCTCGCCGCGCTCCTCGTCCGGGAGCTCGCTCCAGTTCCTCTTGCACGTGGAGACGCACGGCTTCTTCACAAGGAACGCGCGCGGCATTTTCGAACCCTTCTGGCCTGGCGCGGTTCGATCCCGTAACTAGAGCCGGGGTCGTCCCACTTTTCCCGAACTGGGCGCGGGACGGGGAGCAGTTAGGGGAAGGAGTCGCCGAGACGCCCTCACGTTCCGCGGAAAGACGGTGATCTGACGGCGCGCGCCCTTTCCCACTCCGCCGAGGGTCGCCGTCCTCCCTCCGAAGGAGAAGTCCTTGCAGCCAGGTGCACCGCGCGGCGGAGAAGCGGCAGGTAAGCGTCTCCCGGCGCGACTGGCGTCCCCGCGGCCGCTCGGGAAGTCTTAAAGTGCGAGCCGGACCGACGGGTTCACGCTTTATTGGCTCGCGGCGGTGTGTGTTGGTGGCTGGGGCGGGCGGGCGGGCGGGGGGAGTGTTGATCTGATCTAATTAGCTTGGAGTGGCCGGGAGAGCGATGGCGCATGCGTTGGGAAATAACGGTGACAACCCACCTATTTGTTACCTGTCGAACCGGTTTCCATTCCGCTGCCGGTGAGGTGGCCTCGCGGCCCGGGCGGGGCGGCCGGCCGGGGGCGGGTGGCGGCACCAGCAACCAGCAGCATCGGGTGCCCAGCTGGCCCGTCCCCCCCGCCCTCCCCGGGACCTCGCAGCCAGGCGGGATCGCGTTTGCAAACGGGAGTTTCACAGGGAGCAGGGAAGGGAAGGACAACGTTATTTGCACCGGCGCTCGCACGCTCCGCGGGTGATGAAATGAAACTCGCTCAACTGGACCCGGCCCAGCCTGGAGCGCCTGGGGCGCCTGGGGAGGCGCGAAGCCGCCGGGCGGGAATGGGCGGCCCGGGCCTCACTTGTTAAACAGGGCCTGCTCCCAGGCGGCCCGGGATCCCAAGGGCCCGGCTGAGCAATTCGTGGTTCAGCCCAGAGGTATTTGCTGGGCGCCGTCGTCGTGCGGGAAAGGCACGCGGGGTGGCAGGAGCCCGCGGGCGGGTGGGCTGGGAGGCGGGAACGCACATCACGAATGCAAAACAAGAGCCCGCCATCTGCCCTGTAAGGCTTTCCGGAGACAGAGGCGTCCACCGAGATCCCGCAAAACCCCAGTATCTTTGCTAGTGACCGGTGGGCATACACACTTGCCCAGACTCTCTTCCTTGTCCCAAATGATCGGATTTCAGGTGTGACAAAGGTCGAAGAGCTGAGGGTGAGGACCCCCAAATGGATCAGGCCCAGCATTCTTGCCTGCTGCAGACACTGGCCACTCTAAGTGGAGGTTCAGCTTGACACCCCTTCCTGACCCCCTTATCCATCACCCTCAGATCCTCCACAAGCCCACCCCTAAACCCAGGAGTGTTGGTGGCCTCCATGAGCCCTTTTACTATGACACTTTGGCCATGGCTAGGCTTGTTTTATTGGCTGACCTATTAAGGGCAAGGATGGGACCGGCTCCAAACATGTTAGGAGTATCGGTCACAGTATACCTTTCTGGAATAGTGTTAAATGTTTGCTGGAACACAATGTGAGGAAGTGCATTGAAAAATGAATTCACACAGTTCAAAAGTCAGAAGAAGCAGAGCCCAGGTGTGGTGGTGCACATCTATAATCCCAGCAACTTGGGAGGTAGAGGTAAAAGGATCCTGATGTGAGCGCTGCTTGGGCAAAAGCTGGAGACCCTATCTGAACCTATCTAAAAAACAAACTAAAAGTAAAAGAGGACTGGGGCTTGGGTGGAGTGGTAGGAGTGCTTGGCTCCTCCTACAATCTGGAGGTCCTGAGTTCAGTCCCTGTGTTGATGTGAACTCTCAGGCATCTGGTTGCAGGTGACATTCTCTCAAAAGTAATGAGGCCTGTAGAGACCCCCTGCATCCCCAGGACTTCTGTGGAGCCCCTTGTGTGGGTGAAGAGAGTGGAATTTAGGTTCAGATGGGTCTGTCCCCCAAGAATCCTATTGCCCACCTCCTAGGGTTACTGGAAGGATGGATGACAGGAGCTCTTGCCAAAGGGGTGTGGCTGGGGTGTGGCTCAAGCATTAGATCACCTGCCAGCAAGCTGAGGCCCTGAGTTCAAGCCCCAGAACTGCCAAAAGGATAAATAAAACACAAAAGGCATTAATGTTTGCCCTTGGCAAGAAGGGTCCCCTTCCTTTTCTGAAACTCTGCCTATCTGCCCACACTTCCCTTGTCCACCCTCCACTCTGATCCTGGACCCTTTTCATCAACACCTACTGCTTGTCTTTTGCAGTAAATCCTGAAGTGACAGCATTGACAAACACAGTGTGTCCAGGAGAGAGCTGAAGTTAGCTCAGACAGTCCACAAATATTTCTTAGGCACCTTTATTGCGCCCACCCCACCTGCTGGTGTTTGGTGGGTACCCAGCGGATTCTATGGTGAAGTCATAAAATGGCTTCACAGATGACCCTGGACACAAGAGGCAGGCGTTCTCATCAGGGGAGCAACTGGAATGTCCAGAAGGCTAGGTGGGGAGGTACAATGGGTGAAGCCAGCTAGGCTAGTATGTCCAGTATAGTTACAGTGAATGGAGGGGATGGTGCTTAGTCCATGTCGTCTATGATCAAGCCCGCCCCAAAGCAAGGTTTCAGTAAGTATGTGTGAGATGAATGAATATCCTGTTTTCCGGACTAAAGCAAGAAGTCTGCCTCTCCAACTATTCGCCTGGGCTGGCTTCAAACTGCGATCCTCCTGATCTCTGTGAGTAGCCAACCAAGCATCCAGCTTCACTTTTTTTTTTTTTGGTGGTACTGGGGTTTGAACTTGGCATCAAGCTTGCTGGGCAGGTGCTCTACCACTTGAGCCACACCTCCAGCCTGTCTTCCTTCCTTCCTTCCTCCCTCCCTGCCTCTCTCCCTCCCTAGGATTTTATTCTTGCCAGGCAGGCACAATGCTGATTGAGTGATGCCCCTAACCCTTATTTTTTTCCAGTTATTTTGGAGATAGGGTCTTGCTTTGGGGCCAGCATGGACCTCAATCCTCCTATTTTTTTTTTTAAGCTTCCCAAGACAACTGGGATGACAGACATGTGCCACCATACCCAGCTTTTTTTTCGTTGAGATGGTGTCTTGCAAAGTTTGGGCTGTTCTGGAACTTCAGTCCTCCTGCTCTCAGCCTCCCCTGTAGCTGGGATTATAGATGTGAGCCACTGTGCCCAACCTCTTATCTCACATTTTAAAAACAGAACCTCATCAATACAAGGAAGAGCTGGTGTAAGGGAGAGCTAGGGTGGGATTTGGATGGCAGGAGAGGGTCTGAAACCACCTCTTCCTTGTTTTTAGGGAAGGCCTCCAGAAGCCAGGCTGGCATGGTGATGGAGAAGGGGATGGGGTCATGGGGGCCTAAGGCAGAATGAATCATGGGAGATACGTACTGAAAGGGCATGCAGAAGAGAATCCAGCTGAGGACACTCCTAGTGCTTGGGGACTGGGACCAAGACACCTACCCTGTCAGGGCCTCAGTTTCCCCATTTGTAAAGTGGGGCTCCCAGTTCTAGTTCTGCTCCTCAGCAGAAGAGATGCTGCAGATGGGCTTTTGCCCAGGAGCACAGCAGGTCTCAAAAGTGGACCGATCCTCAGAGTGGCCAATGGCCACAGAGCTTCTGGTTGACTCTATCAGTGGCCTTCCCAGCCCCACAGCCAGCCTTGTGTCCCCTCAAGAGTCACATCCCCAGGCCTGGTGCCCCTGACCTTCCCCTCCCTTCCCACCACGTCCATACTCCCCACTGTACTGTCCTCCTTGGTCCCCTGAGCAGGCCACAGCCTCTTCACAGCTCAGCCTCTCCTGTGGCTCCTCCTGCCTGTGTCACTTTCCCCCAGGAGGTGACTGGCTACCTCACCCCATTCAGGTTTCAGCCAAGTGTCTCCTCTTCCAAGAGGCCTCTCTGACCACCCCCCACTAAATCGTCTGCCCCATTACTTGACTCTGTTTTCTTTGCAGCATCTTTCACTGTGACATTCTGATTTGTTTTTATGTGTTGTCATTTCCTCTTTACCAGTTCTAGTTCTGTATGTGAGGCACACGGTTTGTAGCACTGTTTTAAATAGCTTTATTCAGATATAATTCACATACTATAAAATTGATCCTCTTACAAGGTTCACTGGTTGTTAGTCTCCTCAGAGATGTACATTCACTACCACTACCTAAGTCCAGAACATGCCAGAATACCTTGTACACAGAAGAACATTACCCTGTATCCCCAGCACCCAGTGCTATGGGGATGGGTTGGTTGTAGTCCCATTTTACAGATGAGAAAATTGAGGCCCAGGAAAACTGACTCCCCCCTCCCAAGGTTTGAATCCAGAATCTTCCCAGAATTGGGCTGCATGGGGAAGGATGGAAAGAGCAGGAAGAGGAGGGATGAGGTGAGGGTGTCGAGAGGGGAAGTTCTTGCTCAGCCATCTGGCTGTGGTTGGAACTTGACCCTTACAGTGGACCTGTCATTCCCCCAGGTGGCCCCAATGATGGACTGAGCTTGCCTGTATGTATGGCCTGTGCTAGGGACATAGCCAGCACCACCTCCCATAGGGGGCAGACACCTGGGCAGGTTGAGGGCTGGGAGTCAGGTTCAGTGAGGGGCTGTTTGCAGAAGTCTAGCTCCACCTCTGAGGAACTCTGGGACTTTTGCACCTCTTCGGGCTCCCATGCATCATATATGAGTGGTACCTCCCTGGGTAGCACTTTAGTCCTGGAGCCTGTCAGTCTTGGAAATCCCAAGGAGCCAAGGCTCTAGGATGTTGGCAGTTGGCAGAGGCCATGCCACTGGAGGCTGGGTCAGAGCCAGGGTGGGACTCCCTGACCCTCAGAAGCCTGTCTCCTCAACTGTAACAAGGGTTTAATAATGGTTCCTTACCTAGCAGAGTGGTGAGACAGGCCTTGCAGTTATCAGCACCCTCTGGGCCTCAGACTGGAAACCAGACAGGCTCCTACTCCAGCTGTCTTCCCTCCCAGGGCTGCTCTCATCCTCCACCTCTTTCATCTCAGGCCTAATTAGCCAGGTGCTCCACCCCAACAGCCCCTTGGGCTGGAGTCATCACTCCCATTTTATAGATGGGGAAACTGAGGTACCTAGAGGGAAGTGGTATGGGGCTGTCGCCTGTGAGTCAGCTGTGGAGCCAGAGGACTAGGTCTTCTGGCTCGACCTGTCCCTTCCCTTGACTGCCAGTCTCCATCCCCTCACCCCCCCCCACTGCCTTGGGCACGCAGATACCCTCCTTTCCAGCTCTACACACCACCCCCATCTGGAACCACACGGTGGGGCTGGGAGGGGTTTGGGCGGCTTGGAGGAAGGGGAGAGGTGAGTTGGCAGCCGCTGGCATGGGGGCTCTGGCGTTTCATCTTCAAAGCGGGTTATGAGAGCCAGAGGCGTCAGGCCGGTAGGCGGCGGGCCCGAGGTCCTGTGCCCTGGAAACTGGCGGTCGGTGAGGCGTCCACAGTTTGGGCCTCCGACCTAGGAGAGGCAGCTGGGTGAGCCCCAGGCCCAGCCTTCCAGACACCCCCCAAACAGCTGGGATCCAGCCATCTGGACGCCTAGAGTGCTGGGTTCCGGTCTTGCTTGGCCCCAGATCGCTGGCAGCCAGGCTTTGGTTTCCCTGTCTGTGGCAGGCGGGCTGCGAGCCCCGTGACCCACCAGGCCCTGTCAGCCCGCACATCCCAAGTGTAGATCCCGTTGTTTTCTAGCTTCCTTTGGCTTAGGGCCCTGCCCTGTCCGCTTTACACCAGCCAGGCAGCCCGACCCCTGCCAGCCACCGGCCTCGGGCAAAGGTCAGCAGTTACTGCCCCGCCACGACCTGGCGCCTGCTCCTCGCCCCCAAGCCGAGCGGTTCCCCCCCCAGCCGGCGTCGGGGACGCGAAGCCAAGCCCTGCGGCGCCAGTCGGACCGGTTCGGCCACGGCGGCGGCACGCTCTTCTGCAGCGCCCTGGGCCCGAGCCGTGCGCACCCCCCAGCGGCCGCCGGAGGACCCGCGCCGGGCGCCATCGCGGGGCGCGCTTGTCCGCCTGAGTGCACTGCGCCCGGACACCCGCGTGGGGCGCGCCGGCGGCCTTCCCGACCCGCGGGGCCGCTGTCAGCCCGAGGGCCTGGGATCGCGGTCCCCGCTGCGGAGCCCGGCATCCCGGGAGCCCGGCCCACCAACTCCACCGCCCTTGCCCGTGCCTGCGGCGGTTTCGGGGAAGGGGGCCTGCGCGGCGGGACAGTTACTCAGCCCCAGCGAAACCGGCGAGTCGGCACCTGCTTGCCAGGCGGGCGGGGCAGGCGGCGCCCCGTTACGCCCCGCCCCGGGGCCCGCCCGGTCTCCGCCGCCCACGCGCCGCGCACCCCGCCCCACGCCGCCAACCCACCGCGCTCCCGGAAGGAGCCGGCCGGCCGAGCGCCCGCGGCGGCTGAGTCAGCGGTGAGAGGCGAGAGGCCGGCCCGTTACCGCGGGCGCCGGGGGCCCGGGCAGCGCTGTGGTTTCGGTGCCGGCCGCGGGCGGGCAGCGGCCTAATGAGCTGTGGGCACGCACCCGCCAGGCGCCCCGCCTCCATCGCCGGCACTCCTGCGCCGCACAGGCCCTGGGTGCCCGCCCGGTGTTGCCCCCGTAACTCTCGATTTCCGCGTGGGACTCGGGTGCGTGGTCCCTGCTGGGATCTGCCAGAGGCGCCGGGTGACAGCGACTCCCTCTTTCCCCCTCCGCGCCCCCCCGACCCGGGAATAGCGGATGGCCCGGGCGCCCTCTGGTGGCGGTGGAGCCCCATGAGCCCTCAACAGCCTCAGCCCTAGCTTAATGCTTCCTCTCCTCCCCGCAGGTCTGCGACACTGACCATGGGGCCCCTGAGCCGGGAAGCCTGGGCCCAGCGCCTGGGAGCTTTCCGGGCCAGCCCATCCGCCTTCATGGCAGGTGCCGAGGGTGAGAATTTGGGTCGCGATCTGCTGAATGATCTGAGAAGTGAAAAGCTGAGCGAGCCAACCAAGGTAGGCCCTGCCATGGCCTCTATAAATATCCTCCAGCCTAGTGCATCTTGAACCTTGTACTCATAAGTCCCTCCTGAATCTTCCATCGCAGGTTTCCTTGCTGGCCCTGAGCTTGGAGTACCCAGCCCAACTGTGGCCTGATGCTCCTGCAGCAGAGGCGGCTGCTACTTTCCTGTTGGACACCTTGGTCCTTCTACCCCCACGGCCCTCAGTTCTCCGGCGGCCCCTGCTGCTGGCAGCCACCACAGTCCTGGTGGTAGGAGGCGCCCTGGGCCCCACTTCAGGAGCTTCCAGCCGGCTCCTGCCTCTACTTCTTGGCTTGGCCTTGGGCCAAGATGTGGGGCGAGGCTTTGGGCCTGCCTCCGAACAGCGCCTTCTACAGGCCACAGCGTGTGAGTGCTTGCGAGAGCTGGAGAGCTGCAAGCCTGGGCTGCTGGGGGGCTCCCTGGGGGTGCTGCGGAGCCTACTGGGACAGGTGGGCCCTGTCCAGCCACTCAGCCTGCTGCTGGCACTTACTCTGTGCAATACCTTGGTGTTACAGTCCAGGTCTGGGGCTGGCATGCAAGGTCTGCTTATGGCTGGGATCTCCACTGGGGGTGGTCCCTGGGACTGGACACTAGCTGAAGAAGGTGATGCCCACCTTCAGCCACAGGCACCCAGCTGGCCCACAGCCGAGGAGAGGGAGCAGGACCTTGTAGTGCGAGAACCCAGCCCTGAGGATACCCGGGAGCTGAGGGCTGCTGTGGCTCAGCTTCTGGACACCTCTTACTTGCTTACCCTGTGGCCCAGGCCCAGCTCCTGTGGCTGTTGGGCTGGGCCCTGCGGGGTCTGCGGGGACAGCCACCAGTGCTCTTCAAGCCGCAGCTGGTTCGGCTGCTGGGCACTGCACAGCTGGCGCTGCTGCACTCTGTTCTTGCTCTCAAGGCGGCCTTCGGTGAGGCACTGTTCACTGCCCAGGACGAGGTCCTGCTGCTCCACCGGCTAACCTTGGCTGCCCAGCACCCAGCCCTGTCCCCACCCACCCATCTCTTTTACCTTCACTGCCTCCTGAGCTTCCCGGAGAACTGGCCACTGGGCCCTGAGGGGGAAGAGGCTACGCCTTTGCTGCTGCGGCCCCAGCTTTGCCGCAGCCTCACGCCTAGTCTCCTGCATGACCCAATGACCCTCCTGGCCCGCCTTCATTTGCTGTGCCTGCTCTGTGCGGAAGACGAGGAAGAGGAGAGAGGCCAGGTTCAGAGTCCACGGCAGTACATGGAGAAGTTGCTGGCTGGCTTGCAGCAGAGGGCGGCTCTGGATCATGGCCCCCGGGCCTTGGCCACTCTCTTTTTCCAGGCCTCATACCTTGTTACCAGCTGCCTGGCTGGGCAGCCGACAGTACTGACACCCTTGATCCATGGGCTGGCCCAACTGTACCGAGCTCGGCCTGTGCTGGCTCCCCACTTTGTGGACCTTTTGGATCAGGTGGGGCCTGAGCTGGGGGAGCCCCTCAGAGAGGTGTTAAGGCAGGAGGTGGTATCCAGGCCAGGCTGGGATGAAGCTCTTCGCTGGCACCTGCAGATGCTGGCAAAGGTGGCCGAGGGGGATGATCAGAGTGCCATTCTCAGCTTTCTCCAGGCTGCAGCTGTCCACTGCACTGACTGGGGCCTACAGCAGGCTTTGCTGCGGGTCTGCAAGGCCTGTTGCGGACAGGCGGTGGGGGTGGACTGTCAGACTTGTTGCAGGTGCTGGCCAGGCAGCTGGAAGACCCTGATGGGCGGGACCATGCCCGTCTCTACTACATCCTCTTGGCCCACCTGGCAGGGCCCAAGTTGGGGGTAGCCCTGGGCCCCTCACTTCCTGCACCTGCACTGGCCTCATCACTGGTGGCTGAGAACCAGGGCTTTGCAGCAACACTGATGGTGCAGGAGACCCCGGCCCCAATTCGGCTGAGCGTGGGGCCCCAGAAGTTCAAAGGTCCACTGCCAGTGCTGCAGCTCCAGGTGGAGACACTGGAACCTGTCTATTCTCTGGAGCTGCGCTTCCGTGTGGAAGGACAGCTCTACGCGCCCTTGGGGGCCCTCTATGTGCCCTGCCTGTGTCCCAGCCGCCCTGCTCACCCTCTGGTCCTGCCCCTGCAGCCCCGACGCCCAGCCCCTGCACGGCTGTATGTTCAGGCCCTTTACACTACACCGAGTGGCCTCACCTGCCATGCTCACCTGCCCCCCCTGTCTGTGAACTTCTCTGACCTCTTTCTGCCTTTCCCCCAACCCCCCAAGGGGACTGAGTCAGAGTTCTTTGAAGGGCTCTGGGACTCCTGCCTACCAAAGGGTGCAGAAAGCCGTGTGTGGTGCCCTCTAGGGCCACAGGGACTGGAGACCTTGGTGTCTTGCCACCTGGAGCCCTTTGTGGTGGTGGCCCAGCCCCCCACCAGCTACCACATAGCTGTCCGCCTGCCGCCCGACTCCATGCTGCTACTGCGGCTGGAAGCAGCCCAGGTGGACGGAGTGCCTGTGGCTCTGCGGACTGATGACTGGGCTATTCTGCCCCTCGCAGGGGACTACCTTCGTGGGCTTTCAGCCTGCTGAGCGAGGCCCAGTGGGGGAGGGCTGTGTCCCTTATGAGGACTGATCTAAGAGTGGCTACTAAGGCCTGGTACATACTCCTATAATTCCTGTCCCATAAAAACCTGTATTCACCAACAGCCCTCACTGGCTTGGTTTCTTTTGGACCCTAGATAGGAGCAGGATCCCTATGGTATAATCATAGGCCCCAAGAATGTTCCAGACTAGTTGGATGCTGGTAGCTCACGCCTGTAATCCTAACTATTCAGGAGGCAGAAATCAAGAGGATGGTAGCTTGAAGCCAGCCTGGGTAAATAGTTTGTGAGACCCTATCTTGAAAACAAGCCCATCACAAGAAAGGGCTGATGGAGTGGCTCAAGGTGTAGGCCCTGAGTTCAAACCCCAGTACTGAAGGAAAAAAAAAATGTTCCAGACTAAACCCCAAGACTGCTAGGCTCCATAGTTCCGTACTACAAAGAGTCTCCAGAATCGCTGCCCAGGAGGCAGGAGAAAAACATCCTGTCTGCTTTCCAGAGATCTGCCTAAGATCTCTGAGCAACTTAGTATGGAGGCTATAGCTGGAACTTTGGCCTCCCCGCCTGGGGAACCCCCAAAGTCACAGGGTTCCTGCTTCAGGGAGCTCAGACTGGACAGGGCAATAGGTTGGCAGTGTGAAACAGCAAGAGGAGGCTTTGGTGGCCAGGGATCCCTTCCCCCACCTCCCCAGGCTGTGCTAGTTGGAGCCAGCTGTAAGGAGAGCCAGCCAGGAGGGTTTGGGGCAAAGGGGGGCCTGGTGATCTGTGCTAAAAGTGAGCTAGCTTTTCCTAACCTCAGCTCCCAAGAAACCCAGTCTGTACTTAACAATCTTCTCAGGTAAGAAGAACTTGTTCCCCTGGTTCTTATTCCCCAAATATGCCAGGCACAGGATTCAGATGCATAATGGCCAACTATGCTGCCAGGCACCAAGCTGGTATTTTTCACAAGCTGTTCCCTCATGTCATCTTTGCAACAGCTCTTTGGGGCCCCACAGATGAGGGAATCTGTAGGCCAAGGGGTTAAGAGATTTTCCTAAAGTCACCCAGCTGATTGGGAATACTAGTTGTCATTGTGTATCAGGTTGTCCTTACCAACTTGGAGTGGGGCTCTGCAGGGGCCACACAGCTCCCTGCCCTGGGCAGATCCAAGGATTGGAAGCAGCAGTTAGCAGAGGGTGAAAGAATGACCTTGGACTTGAGCTATCCTGGGGGAAGTTTCTTCTGTCCCTGCCTTTGGGCTCCCAGCTCCTTCTTGCTGGGACAGACTAGAAGAAAGAAGGGCCTGGGTCACTGGGAGTTGTCACGGGTCAAGGTGAGAGGCCAGGTTCAAGCTCGAAGCTGTGAAGGTAACTTGTTCTGCTACCTTGTAAGCCATTTCCAAATTGGGAAGGGGTCAGATGCAGGAAGCAAACTTCTCTAGCTGTTTCCAACAGAGAAAGGCAGTCTGGACTACATAGTTCAAGGCTAGTCTAGGCTATACAACAAAACTTTCAAAAAAATAATGTAATCCATCCTATCAAGCTGAAGAGGAAATATCACAAGATAATATCAATACATGGAGACAAAGCATTTGCTGAAATCCAGCATCTATTCAAGAAAACTCTAAGCAGACTAGGAATAAAATAGAATAGAAACCTCACTTGGCAAAGAACGTCTATAGGGCTGGGATGTAGCTCTGTGGTAGCGTGCCTGCCTAGCATGCTCAAGGCCCTGAGTTTGATCCCAACACCAAAAAAAAAAAAAATCATAAAAAATTATGTCTAATATTATACCTAAAGACATGAAAGTGGGTTTGTTAAGATTAGGAACAAGGCAAGGATGTCCCTTCTCACCATTCCTTTTCAAAATCATACTGGAGCAGGGTGCCAGTGGCTAATGCCTGTAATACTAGCTAATGCAATATGACAAGAAAAAAAAGATACAGATTACAAAGAAATAAATTATTTTTTTCACAGATAATATGATTGTGTAGAAAATCTGGAGGAATCAACAGCAAGGGCAGGAGACGTGGCTCACGCGGTAGAGCACCTGTCTAGTAATCTCACAAACCTGAGTTCAATCCTCAGTACCACCAAATAAAAAAAAATTGGCAGAGTACAATGGCTTACTGTTATAATTTCAGCTGCTTGGGAGACAGAGATCAGGAGGATCTTGGTTTGAGACCAGCTTCAGCAAAAATGAGTGGGACTCCATTTCAACATCAACAACATCTGTAATCCCAGCTTCTCAAGAGATGTAAGAAGGCTTGTGTACAACTAGAATATGCTAATAAGTAAATAATAATTTAAAAAGGACTGTGGACCAGACCAGCCCAGGCAGAAAACACAAGACCCTATCTGAAGAATAACAAGCAAAAAGGGCTGGGTGTGGCTCAAGTGGTAGAGCACCGCCTAGCAAGCATAAGGCTCTGAGTTCAAAGCCCAGTACCAATAAAAAAAAAAATCCAGCAGTAAAAACTTAAAAACTCCTGGAACTAACTTACAATTATAGCAAGATTACAGGATACAAAGACAATGTGAAAAAAGCAGGTGTACATGCCTGAAAAATCCCACCTACTTGGAAGACAGGTGAGTTCAAGACCAGCCCAAGCAAAGTTAGTGAAACCCTATCTCAAAAAAAAAGAATTAAAAAAAAAAAAAAGTTTGGGGTTGTGGTCAAGTGGTATAGCACTTGTCTAGCAAGCATGAAGTCCTGAGTTCAATCCACAGTACCATTAAAAAAAATTTCTTTATTTCATTAATGAACAAATGGAATTTGAAAGTTAAAACATCCTCTCAGTTATATTATCTTGCCCCAAAATGAAACACTTGAGTTTAAATCTAATAAAATATGTGTAAGATCTTTATGAAGAAAACTACAAAACTTATGAATAAAAGAACCAAATAAATTGAGTGACCTTCCATGTTCATGGTTAGTAAGATCCAAATTGTCAAGTTGTCAGTTCTTCCCAACATGGTTTATACATTTGATGAAATCCCAATCAACATTTCCCAAAATTAATTTTTTATATTGACAAACTGTAAAGTTAGCGGGGTTTTTTTGTTTGTTTGTTTGTTTGCTTAGTTTTTTTTTTAAACCTTTTTGCTCTGGTTATTTTTGAGATAGGGTATTGCATTCATGTCCAGGCTGGCCTAGACTTCAATTGTCCTATTTATGCTTCCCAAATAGCTGGGATGACAGGTGACCAACATCACAACCAGCTTTTATTGGTTGATATGGGGATCTAGCTAACTGCTTTCTAAGGTTGTCCTCGAACTTTGATCCTCCTTATCTTTGTCTCCTGAGCCACTGTGCCTATCTGATTCTAAAGCTTATACAGAGAGGTGGAAGACCCAGAATATTGAAGGAAAACACAGTTGGAGATTGGCATTGCCCAGCTTCAAGACTTAGCATATCACAATAGTAACCAACACAGTGTAATATTAACAGAAGAACAGACAAATAGATCAGTAGAATAGAGTCTAGACTAGGCCTACATAAAGATAGCCAAATGGTCGAACAAAGGGACAAAGATAATACAAATAAAGCAAAGATGATATTTTCAACAAATGATGCTGAGAAAATTGGACATTTGCCTGCAAAAAATGTCTCCAGACCCAGACCTACAGTCTCCACAAAAATTAACTCAAAATAGATCATAGGGGCTGGCAGAGTGGCTCAAGCGGTAAGAGCACCTGCCTAACCAGCATGAAGCCCTGAGTTCAAACCCCAGTGCTGCCAAAAAAAAAAAAAAAGTCACAGATCAAAATGGAAATGAAAAACTATAAAGCCCTACAAGATGATACAGGAGAAAATCTAGGTGATCTCGGGTATGGTGAAGACTTACAAAATACCAACCTCCAAAGTCCTGATCCATGAACAAATGATGCTGGGTGCCAGTGACTCACACCTGTAATACTACTGACTCAGAAAGCAGAGATCAGGAGGACTGCAGTTCAAAGCCAGCCCTGGGAAAATAATTTTTGAGATTCTATTTCAAAAATACCCATCATAAGAAAAAGCTTGGTGGAATGGCTCAAGTGGTAGAGCACCTGCCTAGCAACCAATGAGGCCCTGAGTTCAAACCATGTCACCAAAAAAAAAAAATAATAAAGATAAGAAACTGTTGGTAAGTTGGACTTCATAAAAATTTTAAAGTTGCTCTGCAAAAGACACCAAAAAAGGCACCACCAGACATGGTGGAGCATGCCTGCAAGCCTAGCACTTAAGGAGGCTGAGGCAGGATGACTGAGAAACCAAGGCCAGCCTGGGCTGCATATGGAGACCCTGTCCCCTGCCGTGCCAAAAAAGTCAAGATAATGAGAAGACAATATCTATCAGACTAGGAGATAAATATTTTTCAGAAAACATCTGACAAAAGATTTACCTAAATTTTAGGAAGCAGTTAGGCACTAGTGGCTCAGCTGGTAATCCTCGCTTCTTGGGAGGTTGAGATCAGGAGGATCATGGTTCAGGGCCAGCCTAGGCAAATAGTTCAAGAGACTCCATCTCTAACAAACAGAACAAAATGGACTGGAGGTCAGGCTCAAGCAGTAGAGTGACTGCTTTGCAAGTGGGAAATCCTGAGTTCAAACCGTAGTCCCACTTAAAAAAAAAAACTCTTATGGCTTGACAATCCTTGATATTTTCCCCCAAACAAGTTAAAAAACCTATGTCCACATAAACCCTTTCACATGAGTGTTGTTCATAATTGCCAAGACTTAGCAGCCAAGGCTTCCTTCTGTAAGTGAATCAATATTGGTATATCCAGACAATGGAATGCTATTCAGTGCTAGAAAGAAATGAGCCACCAAGCCATCAAAAGACAGCTGAGTGTGTCTTGAATGCATATCAGTGCTGGGGGCGCAGCACAAGTGGTAGAGCACCACCTCCCTAGCAAGTGGGGGGCCTTGAGTTCAATCCCCAGTGACACAGCTTTCCAAAACGTTTGGTGGCACTGGCATTTGAACTCAGGGCCTTGTGCTTGCTAGGCAGGTGCTCTTATCACTTGAGCCATTCCACCAGTTCCCCCCCCTCCATTTTTTTTTTTTTTGCAGTATTGGGGCTTGGACTCAGGGCCTTCACCTTGAACCACTCCACCAGCCCCATTTTTGTGAAGGGTTTTTCAAGATAGAGTCTCTGGAACTATTTCCCCGGGCTGACCTCAAACCACGATCCTCCTGATCTCTGCCTCCTGAGTAGCTAGGATTATAGGTGTGAAACACCAGCCCCACCCCCATTTTTTAAAAATGTGTATTAGTAAGCAGAAAAGTCCAATCTGAAATGGTTATTACTGCATGGTCTTAACTATGTGA